ACTTGCAAGAATCATGGAATTGTTACCGAATTCAAGAGGTTTGCCACTTGGGGTGCTCTCCATTAAAAAATGAGATGTGGTTGTCTGAAGGCAATTTTATTTACCTCCAGCAAGTCAAGAACTCAGGGTATTCATATCCAAAGCTCTGCCTCCCTTAAGGGAGGCTTAGCCATTTGCTTATATACACTATTTTGTCAATTTCACATGTTGATTTCTTCTTTGCAGTTGGCTATACTTAATCAAGTTGGGTTCTTGTCAAGCTTATCCTGCAAACATTGTGCTACATTTTAACATTTAACAAGAACAACATTTAGTAAGAATGGCCCAGACCTTGAGACCCTTGTCCTACCTAATATATAAAACTAGCCCATGAAGGTTATCTATGGGTCCATATGTTATAGTCAAGTTCAGAACAATGTAGCACTCCCTCTCTCTCCATTCTCCTTCATCTCGCCTTTTAAAAGTTATCCTGACCCTGTTTTTTGCCCCTGAACTTATGTCTTAAAGAAATATTATTTGAATTTTGATTGAACCGCATCAATGTGTAAATACCATAACGTAAGCAGATTATGCTTTCCCCCCTCTAATTCCATTACAAGTGTCTAAAATAGGGCCAAGCGTGAGAGCTCAATAAATGATTTTAAAAATAACATGCCCTGAAGTTGATCCTCTGTTGTATGTTATCAAAATCTACTGTAAATATTCCAAGTCTGAGTTTTCCATGTAGAGTCACTGCTCTACAACATCAACTATGAATGGCTGCCTATAGGTCTTTCATGTGAAAAAGGAAAAAAAAAAAGCCACAAAAAAAAAACCCCCTGGTTTATTCAGGTTTATAGGAAAGATCAAAAGTGTTCCCCTACTTTGTCATTTCGAAAAGGAATTCAACATAGATAAAGCAACATGACTTGAAGGAGATACTATAAAACATATTAAATATTACCAAAAAAATTTTACAATTCCCATTTCAGCAATCACAAACAAAATGTACAATCAAATTGGTTCTAAATGACAAAAGCTGTCACTGTAAGAATTACTGGCTCATTTACAAAGCAAAAGTCTGCTGTCCCCTTTCAAAACATAATTTATAAAAATAAATCCAAATATGAATAAATCAGGATATTCCTTGGCCTTTCTTTGTGAAATTGGGTAGTTGGTTATTTAATTTACTGAGATAAGGAAGTCTGGAAAAGAGGCAGATTTGGGAATAATTCAGTAATTGGATATCATTTGCATTTGACATTCCCATGAAATAAGTAAAGACTTTACGAAGACAGCCAGGTATATGAGCCTTGAGCTCTAGGATTAAGTTTGAGCTCCTGGTAGAGACAGCAGAGTAGGTTGCAATGGTACAACCTACCTACAATATTTGTATCCAAGTAATCAGTGTTCTTTAGAAGAGCAAACTTAAGGAGACTAGGGGTTAATAGACACAGTTTGATAACAATGATCTATATAAACAGAAAGGTTTATAAGATATGAACCTCTTTAAATTGATAAAGGATTGTTATTTTAGAGATAATACTCTCACCATTGATAATTAGAATAATAATGTATGAGAAATTTAAGTGCACAGACTGGTTTCAGATTGCCTGCCTATGAATACAGCCTTCTGACTTACTAAGTGAATAACACTGGGCAAATAATTTAACCATGTAGCACCTCAATTTCCTCATCTATAAAATGGGAAAAACAATAGTTAACTACCTCATGAGGTACTTATGAAGATTAAATGAGCAATCAAAACATTATGTGTCATATAGTAAGCACTCAACAAATCCAAGTTAGTATTATTACCTGCAGTCTTCCACACTATATACAGAAGTGTCCTCAGACTTCAGTTTTCTAGTTAGATGCTTGGTAAGAGATGACATCAAAGATTCAGAATTAACTAGGGAAAGCATATGAAAAACCCACCTGAAGAAGTGGAGGCTAGAAGTTTTGCAGATTGTGAAAACCATCCTCTTTAAAAGTAAGCTGTATGTTTGCCAGTCATTCCTAAATCTGTATCTACAGCCCTGACCCAACCCTGGAGCTCCAGACCCAGCTGACTACTAGATACTTGACTTGGTAATTTAATAGGCATGTTATTGGAATAAAAAGGGGAAACAATCAGTGTTCTCTTCAGTTAGTGAATGATCAAGTAACCATCTCTATCTCCAGGAACTCTCAACTCTGCTCCCTAAGTCACGAAATCCATGCAGTAAATGACATTCTCTGTTTTCAGCTTCACACTTTATCATTATCATTAATGTTTTGTAGTCATGATTCTACTGCATGTATTGTTCACTTAAATCAATTCAAACAATTTCTTAAGGAAGGCAGGGAATAAGAAAATAAGTGGAAAAAAATTAGATGCCGTAAAATGATTCCTGGGTTCTGCTGCCTGAAGCAGACTGCACTGCACATTCCTCAACAGAAGCAACTCTCAGCTGTCTTATCCTGGGCCATGACTCCAATCACCACCAATAATGTCACCAATGGAGAGAGCACACATCCCAGGTGGACCAGGACAGTTCCAGTAAAATTCTAATAGCATGGCTTTCCACTCTCAAAAGTGCCTGGATTGGCTGAGAAATTATATGTCTACTTATGTATATGATCACCAAGAGCTCTGCAGCATCTTGCATTCATTCATTCACTCATCCATCCATCCATTCATTCATTCATTCATCTAATATCTACCAAACTCCAAGTACCAGGTCCCATGTTGGGCTCCATTACAATGCAGGATTCTAATATAAAAATGACATATCTTGAAAAGCCACAAGATATATGCAGAAAGGGTCATATTTAGATCAAGAGCTTCAGTAAGAGTCTCTGAATTACATACCACATCTAAGAAGACATGAGACCAGCAAAAACAGTATATTTGCTTAGACACATAATAAACAGATAACTCGATACATTAGACCAGCCGTGGGCAAACTACGGCCAACGGGCCGAATCCGGCCCATTTGAAATGAATAAAACTAAAAAAAAAAGACCGGACCCTTTTATGAAATGATGTTTACTTTGAATTTATACTAGTTCACACAAACACTCCATCCATGCTTTTGTTCCGGCCCTCCGGTCCAGTTTAAGAACCAATTGTGGCCCTCGAGTCAAAAAGTTTGCCCACCCCTGCATTAGACAGATGTTATACACAGTGTAAAACCAGCATATATTTGTTGAATAAATGACTAAAATGCTCCATTGTATTGTCACCATTGGTGTGAACTGGGAACAGGTAATAAGATGTTTATTTTTATTTTTATAGACAAGTAGCAAACAACAGAAATAAAAGCATCATTACAACTATCTTTCCTTTTTTCTGATTTAAGGTACTATTTCTCCTTTGATCTTCAAAACAAAATATAATTTATACATTTTAGACTGATTTTCCCTATTAATGTAGGAAGAATCAGGAAATCTGAATTGGTTCAACTGTGATTTCTTCCAGATTATAATACTCTTTGTAATACTTTAAGCAATAAAAAAAATAAAATAAAATAAAGTTAAATTATTTGTTTCAAAAAAAAAATGACTTCTGCTCAAGATCATATATGTATCCCATTCATTTAGGGTCATTTCTATTGGTAAAGTACTCTATCAATAGTAATATAATTAATGGAGATAAATTTTTATCTTATTTATTTATTTTTTAAAAATATATTTTCATTGACTTCAGAGAGGAAGGAAGAAGGAGAGAGAGATAGAAACATCCATGATGAGAGCGAATCAGGGATTGGTTGTCTCCTGAAAGTCCCCCACTGGGGATGAAGCCCACATCCCAGGCACATGCCCTTGACCAGAATTGAATCTGGGACCTTTCAGTTCGCAGGCAGACGCTCTATCCACTGAGCCAAACCGGCTAGGGCAATTTTTATTAAAGAAAAATTGTACTAAAACAAAAATGACATCTGTTCAGTTTGTACTGAAAGCTGCCCTTGTGGAAACATGCTTTAGTAGACGTTTGTTTTTAACAGACATTTCACAACTCATATTTCAACATTAATGTTTGCAGCAAATATGTATTAAGTGTCCATCATGTGCAGGGCCCTGTGGATTATACAGACATAAATTAGACTTTGGCCTTGTCCTAAAAAAAAAAAAAAAAATCTCAGAAGCTAGCAGAGAGGCCGGCTAACTTTGAAGAAAGACAGAGAACATAATTAAGCCTTATGGGACGTGAAAAGAAAAGTCCCATGCCAGGTCTACGGTGAGAAGTTACTTCATGCTCTCTGCTCTAGGATAACATGTCCACGGCACTGGCAGGGGGTACACACCGCACAGTAAACACCGTATGAATTGTGCGAACTTAATTCTAGTCTGGCTTCTGATTCCAACTAGCTATGCGCACTTGTCCAATTACTTTACATCTTTAGGTCTCACGTTCCTCGTCTGTAAAATGAGTTCAAACGGATAACCCCCAAGCCTCCTTTAGGCTCCAATAGTCCAAATTACATCACTATGATGACGTCAGCAAGAAAAACTCCGGTTTCTATTTACCACACACTTCCTATGTGCCAAGCACTGTGCTACGGTGCATCATTTATATTATCTTCATTTAACCTTCACAACAACCTTATGAAATTGGCATTGTTATTATCCTTATTTTAGAGATGGGGTGGTGGGGGGAGCAGTATTATGGGGCTGGAGTCTCGATTTGAAAGGAAGCAGTCTGAACCTACTCGAGGAGTTACTCTTAACCCCTACAACCCAAACGATGTCTTCACGAAAACCCTCTTACCCACTAAGGAAATAAGGGAAAGAAAAACAGAGCTTGGAAGAGGGTCCTTCCTGGCTGGCGGGCAGATCTGGGTTCACGTCACGCTTCTCTGTCCCACGTGTTAGTGAGTCTCAGCACCGCCGCCCCGGCGATGCCCGCGCTGCCACAGCTGTGCGCACCACAGCTGGACGGAGCTGGCGACGGCCAGCGGCGGCCCGGGCGGGGGCGCGCGGAGGGGCTCGGGGCGGGGGCGGGGGAGGCCCCGCGGGCGCGCGGGCAGAGTGGGTACCTGGGCTGCTGGCGGCTCCTGCCGGCTGGTTCTCCCACCAGTCGTCTCCAAGATCGTCTGCCATCTCCACGCGGGGCTCTCCGTGGGCGGACCACGAGGGAAAAGCTTACGGAGGCAGAGACTCGCTGTCGCGCAGCCAGGGGTCCAAAGAAGCAGCACGAACAGCCTCTCCTCAGACCGCGTCGCCTCCGCCCCGCAGCGATGGCGTCAGAACCTCCGTCCCGCCTCCCAGGCAGCCGCGCCCAACTCGTCGCAGTTTCCACACCTGTGCTCCTGGGCAGGGTCGGTTTGGAGACGCAAAATAAATCCCCACAAAAGACAAAGACAAGAATACGCATAAGCAAAAAAGAAAGATTATATTTTTAATTCGTTATTTTAAGACTTTAGGTTTTGTTTTTGCTTAAAGTTGTTGTCGAAAGTGTGAAACCAGATGCGAAGACAGTTTTTCTCTGCTCGGTTTCAAAGAACTGGAGCCGCGGGACCAGACCCGAGCACGTGGCTGTGTTTTCGTGTGTGTGTCAGTGTCTGGGTGTCCTGTGTTTGTACAGTTTGCTCTTATAAAAGGTGCACAAGGGCTCATGGCCATGAATGTTGGGCCTTTGTTGTAGATGTGGGCACTGCTCTTTTTGTCCAATGTGAGTAAAGAAAATGATTGGTCTGTAAGGGCTCCCCCACGGAAAGTCCCTGCTTGTCCGAAAAGTTTAGAATCGACTCCCTCACCCCCTTCCATTGTGCAACTCTTCCCCCGCCTCCGCCCTCTCCCCCTCCCGTAGAAGGGAGCCCATTGCCACCTAACTATAGGTAAGAGACCTACAGTGCTTCTTGTCTCACTTTCAACGTGAAGTGGCAGAGATGGGCAAGGAAGACCTGATGTGCGCCAAGTGCTGCAGCCAGCTGTAAGGTAAGTATAGACAATATTTTCAGGCAGGTCTTTTTACACAACAGTAAAAATTTTAGGAAAAAAAAGGATTAAATACACGCAACGTGGCCGGCACTATGCTTGGAATAGTGGTTTAAAGATGTGTAAGATATGATGGCGCCTTCCAGATGTCACCAACTAGAGTAGAGGAAATAGAACTTTTAAGGCTAAAGGCTAATGATAGGATACATCCTGGTAAATAACAGAGACCAAGTATCTTAATCTGATGAGGATAGGATTAGTCATTATGTGAACAATTCCCCAAATCCACCCAGCTAATAGGTGGTGTACAAGTGCATTACAGTTAGACTTGATCAGCGTGCCGTAAGTACCCTAAAAGAGAAAATAGGAGCTATAAAAGTGGCAAATGTAAAATCATCTATAATCCTCAAAATGAGTGACTTCCACGGGGAAATGCAAATAAATGGCAGATGATTATGATGATTGATAGATTATTGAAAAGGAAAATTGGATGAGAAATTACAATGTGGAAGAGGAAGTGCCATGGCTAATAAACATATGAAAGGTTGCTCTGTCTCATTAATAATCTGAGACATACAAAAAAGGCTATGTTGAGATACTGTTATTTTTATTCAGTAAATTGACAAAATTAAGTCTGGGAATACCAAATTCTGGAGTGTATATGCATCTGTAGGAATTCTTACACATTATTGTCGTGAGTGTAAATTGGTATAGCCACGTGGAAAAGCAATTTGGCAAAATCTTGTAAAGGTCAACATACATACCTTATGATTCAGCAATTTCCACTCCTAAATATATACACTTGGGAACCTCTTGCCTATGTGTACCAGGAAACTATAAAATAATATTCATAGCAGCACTGTTAGTAACAGCAAAAAAATAGAAACAACCCAAATGTGTTTGTATGGGAAATGGATAATTAAATTATAATACAGCCATATTATTAAGCAGAATAAATGAATGAATATACATAACATGGATATAATTTGGAAACAATGCTGAGTTTTTTAAAAAGCCAAGTACTAGCCCTAACTTGTTTGGCTCTATGCGTCGGCCTGTGGACTGAAAGGTCCCAGGTTCAATTCCGGTCAAGTGCATTTACCTTGGCTGTGGGCACATCCCCAGTAGGAGGTGTGCAGGAGGCAACTGATCGATGTTTCTCTCTCATCGATATTTCTAACTCTCTATCCCTCTCCCTTCCTCTCTTTAAAAAATCAATGAAATATATATATTTTTAAAAAGCCAAGTACTAGATGCCATTTTATAAAGTTCAAATACAAGAAAACTAAAAATTGTTTAGGTAAAAAAATGCATATGTGATTTTAAGGTTAGAGAATGGTAAGCACAAAATTCAGCACGTTTCAGGTACCTCTCTAAATATTTACACTGAGTGGCCAGATTATTACGACTGGCCAGATTATTATGACCACCCCATCAGTACAATGAAGTGAATTAGTTATGCAAATAATAATAATCCTATCTAATAAAAGAGAAACATGGTAATTAGCTGTACGTCCAATACCCTTCCCATTGGCTAATCAGGGCGATATGCAAATTAACTGCCAGACAAGATGGTGGCTGGCAGCCAGGCAGCTTGAAGTTAACATGAGGCTTGCTTGCTTCAATGACGGAGGACTCCAACGTTCCCCGCCTGCCGCTGCCAGCCTCTGAGCTTGCAGTTTGAAACATTGTTATAAATATTGAAGTTAAACAAAACCCCAGAAACCTGCTTTCAGTCAGCCGGGATCTCAGAGCTGGAGTTGAAACAGTGTTTCGATTATAGAACCCAAACAAACCAGATACCTGCTTTCAGCAGCAGATGCCTCAGAGCTGGAGCCAGAGCTAAAGCTGGCCCAGAATAAAAAAAAAAAAAAAGAAAAAAAGCAGCAGTTGGGAACTTCAGTCACCCGCCAGCCTGATAACAGCCCTCAGCCCCTCACCCAGACTGGTCAGGCACCCCAGTGGGGACCCCCACCCTGAAGGGTGTGTGACCAGCTGCAAACAGCCATCATCCCCTCACCCAGGCTGGCCATGCCAGGCACCCCAGTGGGGACCCTCACCCTGATCCAGGACACCCTTCAGGGCAAACCAGCCAGCCCCCACCCATGCACCAGGCCTCTATCCTATATAGTAAAAGGGTAATATGCCTCCCAGCACTGGGATCAGCGGAGCCGCGAGGCCTCCTGGCACCGGGATCAGCGTGACGGGGGCAGCGCCCAAACCCCCTGATCGCCCTGCGGCTCTGTGTGTGACAGGGGGCGGGGCCACAACCTCCCTATCCGCCCTGCTCTGTTCGTGACAGGGGAAGGCGCCCCAACCCCCTGATTAGTGCTGCTCTGTGCCTGATGGGGGGAGCTCCTCAACCCCCTGATTGCCCTGCGGCTCTGTGTGTGACAGGGTGTGGCGCCCCAACCCCCTGATCGGCCCTGCTCTGTGTGTGACCGGGTAGAGCCATAACCTCCCCATCGGCCCTGCCCTGAGTGTGACAGTGGCGGCACCCCAACCCCCTGATGGGCCCTGCTCTGTGGGTGATAGAGGGCGGTGCCCCAACCCCCTGATCCACCCTGCTCTGTGTGTGACAGTAGGCGGTGCCCCAACTCCCCTATTGGCCCTACTCTGTGAGTGACGGGGGGAGCTCCTCAACCCCCTGATCAGCCCTGCTCTGTGTGTGACAGGGGGGAGCTCCCCAACCCCCTGATCAACCCTGCTCTGTGCGTGACAGGGTACGGAGCCCCAACCCCCCTGATGGGGCCCGCTCTGTGAATGACAGGGGGCAGCGCCCCAACCCCTGATTGGCCCTGCTCTGTGCGTGACGGGGTGGCGCCGCAACCTCCCCATCGACCCTGCCTTGAGTGTGACGGGGCGGTGCCCCAACCCCCCAATCGGCCCTACCTTGAGCGTGACTGAGGGTGGCATCGCAACCTCCCGATCCACCCTGCTCTGTGCATGACAGGGGGCGGCGCCCCAACTCCCCAATCAGCTCTGCTCTGAGCCCGACCAGGGTGTGTCTCTTCAAGAAAGAGGCTCCACCTGGCCGCCCAATGCCTTCTAAATTCATATTTCTTGTATAGCATTTTCATTTGTGCGTCGGCCCCTCCTTCAGATCCTAAACCTCGCTGCGAAGGTCAAGGCAGGTGAACCTAAGGCACAGAGAAGTAACTTGCTCTCGTCACCCATCTAGAAGGTGGTTTCCCATCTGCCTATGCTTTCACAAATTCCCAAAGCTGTCTGTGACCCAGAAATGATCCATACACACACACCATTGTTCAGAGGCCTTTATTCTCTGCAACCAGAGGCCATTCTGTACTTTAAGTTCAGCCCAGAAATTGATCAAAGAAGTGGTAGAGCTATAAAGAGATGGAATGCCCAGGATGACATGTTTGTTCTGCTAAAGTCAAATCAAACTCTGGGACTGCGATGGGGACAGTTGGATAGATATGCTTGAGGTCCCTGAATCCCCAGGTTCCTGAGCCTTCTGGGCTGACAGAAGGGCCCCTTCCCCCTTGCTGGAAAAAAAGCAAACATTATCTGGAGATGATTCAAGGCCTCACCTTAGTCAGTTGCCTCACAAAATGCTGTGTATGCCCTCACCTTCTCTCATTGCTTCTTCAAAAACTAGTGTTAGATTTCAGTATAGACAGAATGGAAAGTGAAGTTCTTTTTTTTAAAAAAAAAAATTCAGATTTAACTGTGTATCCTGTATTTATTTATTTATTTATTTAAAATATATATATATTTTATTGATTTTTTACAGAGAGGAAGGGAGAGAGATAGAGGGTTAGAAACATTGATGAGAGAGAAGCATCGATCAGCTGCCTCTTGCACACCTCCTACTGGGGATGTGCCCACAACCAAGGTACATGCCCTTTACCGGAATGGAACCTGGGACCCTTTAGTCCCCAGGCCGATGCTCTATCCAGTAAGCCAACCCGGCTAGGGTGAAAAGTGCAGTTCTTACTACAGGAGAAAACTCTTTATTCATAAGAAAAGCCACAGATATATATATATATCACACACACACACACACACACACACACACACACACACACTAGAGGTCTGTTGCACGAAAAGATTCGTACAATAGGCTTTCCCTTCCCCTGGCTGCTGGCACCAGTTTTCCTCCAGCACCCAGGACCCAGGCCTTGGCTCTGGCCGAAGCCACCTTCAAGCCTTCGCTGCTCTGCCCAGCCGCCCCGGGCCGGGTGGCACACAGGACGCCCGCCGCCTCAGGTCGCAGATAGCAAGCCTGGATGGCGGCAGGGCAGGCAGGATGGCGCTGTCCCACCCTGCCTGCAGTATGCAAATTAGCC